TTCTTTTGATTGGTGTTCTTAAAATATGCTATATTATGTGATTTAGTGTCTCAGAAAGTGATGTGTTTCAAGAAGTAATGAAGTACTTATTATTATTATTATTATTCTTTCATTATACTCATATGCAAGCGGAGCTTATGATGAGTTCTTGTGTGATGTTAAATACAGGCCAAGTGTTGGTTATACAGGAGAAAATACAGATGTTGAGATCACATCAAGATAACAAGAACATAGGAAATACAAAGAAGTGACAATTAGATACATGTGATAATAACTTCCCAGCCCAGGAACATAGAGTGATTTATTGAAGTGATTTGTACATCTCTGTATTTATTAGGAACCTGAGGTGCTTGAGTTCTGGATTTAATGTATTCTCTGCGGGTTTTGAACTCACATATCTTGGTTTCTCACATCAAGGCACTACTGAGTGGCTGCATTAATCATTCAGTCACTGAGATGTTACACTCACCACAAACTCGCGCACATCATGACCTCACTCATCAAGTCATGTGATATAAAACTCTATCTAATAATCACTTGTGATTGACTTACTTAGCTTCATCATCTTCACAACTGATCTCAGACATTAATTGTAGAGATGTAATTTATATCTAGATATTATACATAGGCTCTGTATAACTAGACTGAGCATAGATATGAAGAAAAGAAAAGAAAGATAAGAAAAAGAGATTATATATATCAGAGAGAGAGCTATAAGATTGAAATTACATCTTTTTAATTAGTATTCTACAAACTATACTATATCACATAACTTGAGGTGCAAGATCATAATGTGTATAAGTTTGTGAAGCTAACTAACTAAGTTGAGTTAATTTGAGAAATAGCATGTAAGTAGATAATATCATGATTTCACTCAGATAATTCTCAGCACAAGTTACTAGATCTGAAATGAGACTCTATAGAGCAGTCTGAAGAGAGAAAAGAACAGAAAACAAGACTTATTTAACAGAAGTAAATGAAACAAGATGAAAACTACTCAGTCACTACTGAGATCAGAGTGATTATAAGAAAAAAATCATTCAGAAATGAAATAGCTTAATTATATTTATTAAAATACTATTTAATTCTTACTAACTATATTATTTTAGAGAAAACACTGAATTTTATATAAACAGAGACAGATACTCTTGAATTTTAATATTCATTGAATTCTCTGATTTTTCATATTTATTTTCAGCAGGTTGACTGCAGTGTATTAACTGCAGTGTATTAATTAATCATGCTGTAGTACAGATTAATCTGACTAAAACTTCATCTCATACATTCTTACTTTTTAATACAGATTGCTTTGTACAATTTCTTGTAAGTGATCTTGCAATTTATCAGACACTGACACTAGAACTCTTAGTATGTTTTACAGAGTAAGAATATCAAGAAATCTTATTTATCATAAGTAATCTATTATGCTCTTTATAAATATTAAGAAGTCTGAAAATGTAGTCACTAGAAACTTCTGATAATATAATCTCTCTGTAATTCAGTTAGTTATAATAAAGTATTACATACTTATACTTTCTGAAAGACTTTTCATCTTCTACTTTGATACTGAATTCTATGTAGAAAGACATCTCAAGAATCTACTCTTATATTAACTTTATATCATTGAACTCACAATTACTTAATATATGTAGCTGTTATCAAGAACATTATTAATTAAAAGATAATTGAGTAAGAGCTGAGCTGCAACAGTGATATTTAATTATATTAGCTTGTTTCATATCTTTCTGTTGTGATTCAAAGGTTGCTTAAGCCAGTGTACAATTACAGGCGTACACCGGCTTCTTATATATTGTAATATCATACACTAAATTAATTAGTGGCCGCTATAGCCCCTCTTTACATTCGTATGCTAGTAGTTCAGAAGCAGCCGCATTATTATCCGATGGTTGTACATTCTTCAGAACCACATCCTCCCCCACCAGATTCGGTCACGCTCACATGACCATGTTGTACACCCTAGCTTCATGCAGATTAGCTCGCCACTAGCGTTTCGTGATTGTGTGGCCTATTCCTGATTCAGCTAGTGTCTCATGTACGCCCTCACAAAGAAACTTCCACTATATTACATCACTTATTCACTAACCTTTCTCATTCTTCAATCATCATCTCTATCATCATCATCATTGAATGTCATCATCTCATTCAAGATTCCTACCCCTTCTTCTGTTCAATTCTTTTCATCTGTTCATCTATTATATTATACATGTTTCTGGCAATGATTCTCTGTTCTCATAACAAGTGTTCTTGTAGTGCTCATACTGAGCAGTTTGTTAGCAGTAAGTGTAACACATTGTGAAATGTGATCAGAACTTGTTTATCTTCTAACAATCATCAGAACATACTATTATAAATGACATATCTTCTTCATCTTCTTATATACTCTTGACTGTTTCCTTCTCAGTGAGTTTCTGATCATGTTTTCTGACACAATTTTGCATGAATGCAGATACTGATATGTTGTTTTTATTAGTATAGAATCTTCATGTGTTGACAGATCTGCATCTGCTAATGATAGTGAACTCAGTATTGAATCATTGATTGAGAACTTGAAGAATGTGATAATGAAGAAATTACTTATATTATATATGACTGAGTC